TTAAGGTTAAAATATATTAAATTAATAATAATAATAATTCATATATTTTTGCATATGCAAATAATAGCTAAAAAAAGGTTTAATGAATGTTCAATTTAGTCATTATGCAAATATTATGGGATGATATATATAATATTATGGGATATTATGGAAATGTTGTGTTTGAATGTTCTCTGAAATGTTTAAATGATAACGCTGTGAACGTTTAATGGAAAAACCGGGAAAAGTCAGTGAATTTTGACAGGGCATTTTCCAGGACTGGAAAAGTTCAATTCAATTCAGCTTTATTTGTGTAGCGCTTTTGCAATGTAGATTGTGTCAAAGCAGCTTCACATAAATGCTCATAGTAACTGGAACAGTGTAGTTCAGTTTTTAGTGTTTAAGTTCAGTTCAGTTTAGCTCAGTTCAGTGTGCTTTAATGTCATTACTGAGAGTCACTGAAGAGCAGATTTATCGATGCATAGCTCAACCGATCCTGAACCATGCGAGCCAGTGGCGAAAAAACTTCACCGATAGGAGAGCGAAGAAAAACACATTAAGAGAAACCAGACGACCATTTTAATTTCTCCGCTGCCCAAAAGTCTTGTGCAGAGCTGCAGTCTCAGCGGTGGAGGCTGGAAGCTGGCCTCAGCGAAGACTCGTCTGTCCCTGGAGCATCACTGGAATCAGTCTCATGCTCTTCACTCCTCCATGACCACCAGCCCAGCAGCAGCTCAGCATACGGCCTGGTCCCTGATTATGGAAACCTTGGGATCATCTCGTCGCTGGTCTTGGATCCAATCAGTGACTCTGCATAATCTGAGGACCTCAGGATGAGTATCCCAGGTGGAAATGGAGAATAAAGAGAATAATTAGCGTATCTGCTGTTCATAGTGTATATAAACCAGATGTATATAAGTGTATGCTTTACTAAAACATTTTGGAAAAATAGTAAAAACCCACAAAGTTTTGGAAAAGTCATGGAAATTAGCTTAACTAACATCTGTAAACTTGAACATTGGTTAGTTGTCTTTACTTCTTTTCTGTCTTAGGCCAAAAACATGGTCTCACATTATGAACGCTGCGTAAGCTTTCATTCATTCATTTTCCTTCGGCTTAGTCTTAATTTCAGAGGTGGCACAGCGGGAATGAGCCGCCATGAGTAAGCATTATCTAAATAAATCTTACATACAATAGATATCCAAAATAAATTCAAACTAAATAGATTGTTGTGTGTTCTATGTGTGTTTAAATGCGCATTGTTTATTATTATTATTTACCATTTATACATAGACAATAAATTAAACATTAGGTTATGAAAATGTACTTGAAAGTGCTGGAAAAGTCATGGAAAGATCCTGGAATTTAAGTAATAAATGTGTATGAACCCTGATGACAACACAGATATAATGGGTCAAATAAATAATGTTTTATATCTTCACTTCTTGATTAATAACATTAGGAATACAATTTTTTGTATTCGATTTTTCTAAAATATTACATTTAATATGCAATTAAAGCATTATTTAATTAAATTAACACACAGGATTTGACTCTCTATATATTCACATTATTTACATCTATTTTGTTAAATACTGCATGTATTCAGGCACATCTATGAACAAATTCCTCTCTAAAAACCGAAAGTGTAGATTAAACTGAATTTTTGTGTATTTAAACTCACTAATAGGAAATTGTCTTGAAGAATAAATATTTTGGTTACTTTTTTATATAAAACAATTCATAAAATGCTTAAAATTGTGTATTGATATTTTCTTTCAATTGGACTGACTTAAAAAACAAAAGTAAAATAGACATTGAGTAGGAGGCGGGGCTTAATTTTTAAGCTCCTCCTCTTATATGTCGCTTGCAGCGTACTATCATTTGGAAGGGCGTGGCTAAGCACGTTTCGTCCAATCTACTGTCGTCATCAGAGGAGAGCAGAAGCAGGTGGGTAAATGTTTTGGTCGTCAACTTTTATGGTAATGTTATGTAATACATGCTTCAGCGAATCAATTTGATGTATTTATTAAAAATTATGATTAAATCTATTAATAAAACGTAGGTCTTCTCTTCGGTGTTTGGAGGGTTATTTAGTGTATTATGACCTAATGTATCCTCTGATTGGCTCTTTCAGAGGTCGCTGTTGATCAAACTATAAACTATGTCTAGTTTAGCTTTACTTTTAAGTTATATATCGAGATAAATATATTTTTTAAGACTAAACTGTCTTGTTGTGAACACCTACAATGTCTTTCGGTGCTCTAGATCTGCCGATCCATTACATGATTATTTTCCCTCAGACTGATTGGCGCCATTATGCGTTCAAAATGGTATGAACCATTTTAGGGGTGGTCAAATGTATATGTTCATTATCTATAATTTTATTTATCAATAATATTATTTAAGATACAGATCAGAGATTTCTAAATATTTATAAAGCTGACCCCCATGCATTTTGTTTTAACGTTCTTCAGAGGGGATTGAGTTAGCAGGGTTAATCTGTAATTATCACCCTGCCTAAAACTAACAATGTGCTAAACATTTTGATTTATTGATGACTTTGAATTAACTTCTGCCGTGATATCTACTGTAAAAACATCATATAATTCAGTGTTATTGCCTGTAATGAGAAAACGTGTGCGGTAAATATAGGTGTTGTGAACAGACTGAGTTCAGGAGTGATGTTGCAGCGCCACCTGCTGTTTGACATCTTAAACTGACTTTCTTTTTAATAGAAAGTGCGTTTTTTTTAGAAAATAATAATAATAAAGTCATTAACCCACACAGATAAAGGTGACCCACTGTGTGTCTTGTTATTTTCTTGTGTAATTATTATACATGTTCACACTAGTACTACTTGAGATGCTGCAAGAGTGTTTGTACTTCTAAAAATTAGTTTGCAAAATAAATTATATTTATTTCATCTAAATATTAATTTTGTTTTTCATGAATTTTTTCTTTTATTTTGTATTTTTCGAACACAGAAAAACATGCCGTAGACAATCAGCATATAGCAAAGTGCGTAGATGTACATGAAATAACCAATATACAGGTTCCTAAATACTAGTATTAATAATAGTGCCAGCAATAACAACAATAGTGTAAATAGAAAGGAAAAACTGAAGAGTAATGACAAGGACATACTAAAACAAATAAAAATAATAAAATAAAATTAACTAACATATATATATATATAAAACAAATTTCCAAACCAAAAAAATCAGCCAAATAAACTTATATAATTAAAAAAATAACAATAATAATTAAAAAAATAAAAATGGGACGTGGAACCAGACGTTTCTGCTTTTTGATGTCTCATTGATTCAAATGAGTAAACCTTTAAGTTTGTCCAAGGTTTAGCCCAAAGTCTGATGGCGTCCTCTAAATATTTAGTTTATAGGTCAAATAAAGTCTAGCTTTAAATAAAATGTCTATATGTGTGTGGAGTAATGTTCATCTTGAATTTAGCGTAGCACATTTTATGACGATAATGAAATACATATAATGAAAAACATTATATATTTTATACATTATAAAACATATGATAATGAAAAACATACTTATTCTGAATTTCTGTATTGTAAATAAATACATCAAAGTGGTTTAAACTCAGTGTTTTAATCGGTCAGCAAATAATTCCTGTTTTCAATATGAAGGCAGGATTGTGGCGCGAATAAATGTCCGTTTTAGTGGCTGTCTATTGGAAAACCTTAAAAATGGATGATAATTTCGCTCTGGAAAATAAAACATTAAATAGGACCGATTGCACTGCACATTTTAGTGTCTGTCTTATGCAAATCACGGGGGAGAGAGAAGATAATATGCATTCATTATCATTATTGATAAATAAACAAATTTACAATACGACTAAACAGGAGTGTGCATGGGTGTTTCCCAGTACTGGGTTGCAGCTGGAAGGAAAACATATGCTGGAAAAGTTGTTATTCATTCCCTGATGAATAAAGGGACTAAGCCGAAGGAAAATGAATGCATGAATTAAGCAGGACAGCCTGTAATGCACTATACCAGGGATGGCAAACTTGATCCTCGAGGGCCGGTGTCCCTGCAGAGTTTTGTTTCAACACTAGTCAAACACACCTGAACATGCTAATCAGTGTCTTTAAGATCACAAGAAATCTATAAGCAGTTGTGTTTGATTAGGGTTGGAGCTAAACGATGCAGGACACTGGCCCTCCAGGACCGAGTTTGCCCACCCCTGCACTATACTGATCTGCAGGAGTGAATGAATGAACTGTTGTGTTCTGCCGCCCTCTGGTGGTGTGATGTTGAACTTCACGCAGAGGTTTAAACTCTCAGCCAGTCACTAATAAGATTTAAGGTGGACTGTCGACTCTCTCAGCATGATGACTGACCTAAAACCTCTCATTAGTTCATAATAACTCGTATAATTATGTATAAATGTACTCACTGATTAACATTTACCTTCCATTAAAGTGCATACAATTATTCATATCTAAATGCATGGTAAAATATGGAGTTTAATTACATAATAAGTGTGCATGATCATGTTAAACAGCTCCACTCTATACATTCATGATGCTCTTTTAGCTCTGGACACTTTGGACTAATTGTCTGATGTTCCCTCACTATAAAAATCCAGCAGTTTACCAGTTGCCTTCAATTTATTAAGTAAATTAAATATGTGCATGATTAATTTGTCACCTTAGTATCCAGATATAACCTGTATATTCATTTTTTTAAGTAAAGCAGCTAATTGCTTTGTCATAATAACAGTTTAAATTATATTATATTGTGTTTTATTCTAAATTATAGCACAACACATTTCCTCCAACGCATTATCTGCTGGTTTTTATTGATGTAGTGTTTGGATGATGGCGGTTCATTCCGCTGTGGCGACCCCGGTTTAATTAAGGGACTAAGCCGACAAGAAAATGAATGAATGAATGAATGTTTGGATGATGATCTCTGGTTCTCCACCTTAAGGGCACCGCGGAGCGCTTTTCCCCAGCAGCCGAAGATCCTGCTCTTCCTCCGGCAGCCGCGCTCCAGTCACCAGCATGGAGAACCAAGACTCTCCCCCTGATGTCCTCACTAACCCCGCGTTAAACTGACTGATTAGTGCTCTTAACTCTGGACTTTATGAGTTACATAAGTGCTGGAGATGCCCAGCAGCAGACAGACAGACGGATGAGGAGTTTTCAGGAGCTCCGCAGAGAAGCGCGGTGCTGTGATGATTGATGGCCGTGGCGGAGCTCCAGAACTCGGCTGCTTACTCAGATCAAAGGGGCTCCAGGAAAGGGGTGGTCCTGCGCTCCAGCATATATAGAGAGCCGGGACTCTGGGTCAGAGACAGAAGGAGAGACACACACTGCTGCTACAGACTGCCAACACTTTATTTATTGCCACTTTTTAAGTGCTTCAGCTGTGGATTTGGGATTGGTTTTATGAGATATATATATATAGGAGTCAAATACTTTGTGAGGATATTTTGTCTCTTGAGAACTTGACAGGAATATAATGTCTTTTTTGCGTGTGGTGTTGAGTTTGGCTGGGTTTGCCCTGTGCGTAAACGCGGCGCAGAGCGCGTGGGAGGAGAGCTTCGTGCTGCCGGTGCGTCTGGACACACAACCGGGACACACGAAGCAATCCCGGGAGGAGGACTCTGAGAAACGCATCTATCGCTTGGATGTCTTTGGAAAGCGGATGGTGTTGGCGTTGGAACCGGACCAGACCTTTCTGGCGCCTGGGTTTGTGTTCCAGATGGTGGGGAAACCGGAGACCGGTGAGTTTGACAGCGCTGGAGAGGCGCGATGCTTCTTCTCGGGAACCGTAAACGGAGATGAACTTTCCTCCGCGGCGATTAATCTGTGCAAAGGACTGCACGGAGGCTTCTCTGTCGGCGGGGAAGAGTACTTCATCCAGCCTGAGAACTCCACCGGAGCAGCTACAGACCGAGACACCCACACCATTCGCCGCAGGACACCGGGGATCCTGGCCGAGGAGAGCGGCTCCAAGTGCGGCGTGAATGAGGAGGAGGAGCGGGTCACCGAGAAACCCCACACAACCCATTCCAAACCATCCGAGTCTAAAGGTAAATAGTGCATAATTAAACACTCTAAACACAGTGCTGGGTCAACTATGAACAGAACCAGCTGTTGGGTTAAGTAAAAACCATTACTTATTAAAACATTCGCCCAAGGGTTGGTTTGTTAATATTTGATGGGTAACGAAAATCTGACTATTTAGATTAAACTTTCTTCATTCATCTGCCTCTTTACTCCCTGCACTGGGAGGTTTTATTCGGTGATATTTCGTGCACGCCTCCGGTAACCTGAATAAACTCGGTGACTCGGCGCGCGCTGGCGCATACGGAGCGAATTAAGCCGGTTTGGAGAGAGATCTGCACTCAAAACATAATGCTTTTTTCGTACTACTTTTTTTAAAAAGACCTAAAACAATACAATTCATGGGATTTTTTTAGGATAACATAAATGTTTCATGTTCAATCCACTTAAATTCGTTAATATAACTTAATGGATTTAATGGTTTTTTACCGTTTTTTGTGCGTTTAACAGGGGATGTACGTGTAAAATACACTGCTAACAGCACTGAAGTTCTCCTGGTGCATCTCAATACTATAAGCCTCTATTCAGTGCAGATGAGCGTCTCCAGAAGCGAGGCGAGGGTTAACTGGACAAGCAGAAATCTCCTGCGGGAGGAGGGAAGGGGACGCGGGGTGACGGGCAGGGGGAGGCGGGCAGACGTGGAAGCTCTGCTCCCGGTACCGCATGTTGCGCAGATCAGCACCGGAGGACTGTGCACGGCTTGTATTTCCGCCAACGGGAAAGTGCGCAGGTTTTGGAGAAGTTTATTAGCGGGGCGGAGCAGAAGCAAACGGAGAAGTCAGCAAACTCACGCCACACAGAACTCCCACTTCAGTTTTACTAATAATTCATCACTTTATCAACTGTTTACAATCAAAATGCATGTATGATTATTACATGTGATGCAATATAATGAGTTTAAGCGTATATAAACATGTATGTAACACCATTTAAACATACAATTGGTTGGTTACATAAAAATCCACCAATAATATGGATCATATCATCTTCTGCGTGTCGCCCTCTTATGCATGTACTAAATAATTATCCGATAAGTCTCCTTTAAGAGTGAGATCGCCCCTCCCACATATCACCTGACATCCAATAGGGAGTAAAGCATGCTAGTTAAAGGGACAGTTCACCTAAAAATGACATTTCTGTCATCGTTTATCCCTCCACTAGTTTCAAACCCATTTGGGTTGTTTTCTTCTGTTGAACACAAAGGAAGATATTTTGACTTTTGACTTCCATGCTATTTGTTTTTCCTACCATGGATGCTAATGGTTACAGGTTTACAACATTCTTCAAAATATCTTCCTTAGTGTTTAACAGAAGAGAAGAAACTCATAAAGGTTTGAAACTCACTTGTGGATGAGGAATCTGTCAGTGATTCTTGTTTCTGTGTGTGAACCATCCTTTTAAAGTGTACTCAGCATGGATAATATATGTATAACATATATATTAGTATTATTGTATTGTATGCTTTCATTTAAAGGTGAGCTATTATAACATTATGCCTATGGTGTCTGTCGCTTTAAGTTCAGATGACATTGTGTTTTCAGTTCACTTTTACTAATGGCGGGCTGCTTCTTACTTAGGACTGCTGTTTATGCTAATGAGGGAGAGATGGGCACTAGTGGGCGGGGCTTTCCCCCTTTGATGACACGTACAAAGGGAGAATGTCAATCAAAATGTGTCTGCATCAAGTCTGATTATGACAACCACAATTAGTTCATGTTGAGCATTAGAGGCTGCTGGAGATACACACACATCGCTGCTGTGTTTAAACCCCTAATAAAAGTGATTTGCATTACAGCGTGTCTTTAAAAAGGCTGAAGATGATTTCGGTTTTTAATGTTTTTAACGTTTGTGTCATCCTACAGCACACCACCGATCTCGGCGCTTTGTGTCCACGCCTCGATATCTGGAGATCATGATTGTGGCAGACCAGTCAATGGCGGAGTTTCATGGCGCTCAACTCAAACCTTATCTGCTGACCATCATGGCGGTGGCCTCTCGCCTGTATCGACATCCTACCATCCATAATTCCATTACTCTGGCAGTCGTGAAGCTACTTGTTGTGCATGATGAAGAACACGGCCCTCATGTGTCCACCAATGCAGCGCTGACCCTCAGGAGCTTCTGCCAATGGCAAAAACAGCACAACCAACCCAGCGACCGTCACCCAGAACACTACGACACCGCAGTACTGTTCACTAGAAAGGTAAGCGTCACTAAGGCCATGTCCATATGTACACGAGTATTTAAAACATCTCTGTCTACATGAAAACCGCACTGATGTATGTAAAGAGCACACCGAACCAACAGGGGGCGATGAATACACTTAAGCTGAGTTCACACCAGTAGGGGGATTCAGTAAATCGCTTACTAATTAATGCAAGTGTGAGGACAGAAGCGTATTACCGTCGTCCCATGGGCGAATGACACAAAATAATTGACATGTTTGCTGTGATGTGCAGAATTTTGCCTCATTTCTGTCTTCCGTATTTGCTGTGAATGCAGCCATATCGGCCAATCAGAGAGGAGAAAACAGTGGCATGCTGACATCATGAGGCAAAAACACCAGATTTAGCGTCCGCATGTCCACACTGCCACTTTCTATGTTACCATGATAATAGTTTACGTCATGCATGCTCAACCCTGTTCCTGGATATCTACCTTCCTGCAGAGTTCATCTCCAACTCTGATCAAACACACCTGAACTAGTTAATTAGGCCCTGAATAGGACGTGATAATTACAGGAAGATGTGTTTGATATGGGTTGCAACTGAGATCTGCAAGAGGAGCAGGGCTGGTCACCTTTGGTTTACATTTGATCTATATTGCAGAGGCGTACAATACATTTAAATTGTGTCTATGTTGCATGCATTAGTTGGCAACCTAGGCAGCTACCTAGGTCGGCAGAGTGGTCATGGCAGCACCAAACATCCCACATCAACAACCCCCCATCTTGACCTTTATCCATGATACCACCGAAACCCTGTGAGGGTGGCATGATCTTAGTTTGCCTAGCAGGGGTGGCCAAACTCAATCCTGGAGGGCTGGTGTCCTGCATAGTTTAGCTCCAACCTCCTTCAACACACGTGCCTGGAAGTTTCTAGTATACCTAGAAAGAGCTTAATTAGCTGGAGTGTCTAACTGGGGTTGGAACTAAACTCTTCAGGACACCGACCCTCCTGGACCAACTTTGCGCAACCCTGGGCTAGAGCGCCAGTTGAGCTTGTTCTGGCCCTGATTGGTTGCATATTCAAATTTGACCAATCAGATGTGGCCATACTCTCTTCAGACCTGCCCCCAGTAGATGCTGTTCTGCTATTGGCTAGAGTGGCTCAACTGTGAATCTAAAGTTAAAAATACTAATGCTGAGTTCACCCAAAACGCAAAACACCCGGTCACTCGCTCTAATTTACTTTTTTTCTTGAGTTCAATTACACATAATTAATGTGCCATGCATTCCATGTCATTCACACAGCGATAATCTGTCTCTTTATTTGCGTGTTTGCATTGATTTCATGTTATTTACTCATGTAAATACTTAATTCCATGGAACCTTACACAACGGTGGGAGTCCAATAGATAAAAATTACAACATTCAATACAAATCTGAACATCTGCCCACATTTTCCCTCATTCATTGTGTTTTAAAGTCTTAGCATTTGCACCTTGACGTCACTTATCTTTGCCCTAACTAGATTCATTTAGAGAATTGTTATATTGCAAGAAACATCGCTATGCTCAGCAACAACATCACATGTTCCCCAGTAACTTGCAACCCTAACATGAACCCTGTTGCATGCAGGATCTTTGTGGAGCTCACTCCTGTGACACCCTGGGGATGGCAGATGTTGGCACCGCGTGCGATCCAGACCGAAGCTGCTCCATTATTGAAGACGACGGTCTTCAGGCTGCCTTCACAGTTGCACATGAGCTTGGTAGGTACATCCCCATGCTTCAATCACAGAACTGCAAACCTTGCAAGTGTAACTTAATAAATAATTGTGCTTCTGCTGTAGGTCACGTGTTTAACATGCCCCATGATGATGCCAAGCAATGTGCCAGTGTTAACGGGGACCAATGGGGTGCCCACATGATGGCTTCAACATTGTCAAATCTAAACCAGTTAGACCCCTGGTCCCCTTGCAGTGCTCTTATGGTCACATCATTCTTGGACAATGGCCATGGTCAGTGTTTACTGGACAAGCCCCAAAAGCCTGAGGAGTTGCCCCAAACTCTGCCAGGATCGGTTTACGATGCTGATAGACAATGCCGTCTTACATTCGGAGAGGAGTCCCAGCACTGTCCTGACCTGAGCTCCACCTGTGCCGCCCTTTGGTGCACTGTCACCTCTGCAAATGGCTTGTTGGTTTGCCAAACCAAGAACTTTCCTTGGGCTGATGGGACGCCTTGTGGGTCTAACAGCTACTGTATGGCAGGCCAGTGTTTGAGCAAGACTGAGGCTGCCAAATATGAGGTAAGGACCATTTGGTTTGCCATTTGTTCAGTTCAGTTTATTTTCACAACAAGGGACAGTGTACATTAATCAACGTACCCGAAATAGCCATGTATAATCTTGTAAGCTACACAGCCATGTTCTCATATTTCATTCTGATTTGGGATTGACAATTTATCTTTATTCATCCAGACTCCCGTCAATGGTGGATGGGGATCGTGGGGATCTTGGGGAGACTGCTCACGTACCTGTGGAGGAGGCGTGCAATACTCTTTTAGGGACTGTGTCAATCCCCGACCCAAAAATGGAGGCAAATACTGCGAGGGCAAGAGAATTCAGTACCGCTCCTGCAACACAGAGACCTGCCCTGATAGCAATGGTAAGGGATCGTCTTGTCAACCGATGCATTCGGATGCAAGCTGCTCGATACTCAGGTGTGTTTATCTGCGCAGGTTTGACCTTCCGTGAGGAGCAGTGTTTGGCACACAATGACCTCTCCTCTCAGGTGTCACTGGGCTCGGGTGAGGGTGTTGAGTGGGTGCCGAAGTACGCCGGAGTCTCTCCTAAGGATCGCTGCAAGTTGGTGTGCCGAGCGAAGGGAACGGGCTACTTCTTCATTCTGAAACCAAAGGTGAGCGTTTCTACTTGCCTTAGAGTTTGTTGATGTTTAACGCAAGGATGGTGTTTAATCTAAGGTTCCTCATGATGCCTACAGGTGGCTGATGGGACACCGTGCACTCCAGATTCCACTTCAGTCTGTGTCCAAGGACAGTGTGTGAAGGCTGGATGCGACAGGGTCATCGGATCCGACAAACGATTCGACAAATGTGGCATCTGTGGAGGAGATGGATCAACTTGCAAGAAAGTTTCCGGATCAATGGAACGTGCTAGGTAAGCCATGATCTTTACCAAGGGTTTTACCAGTGAAGTCTTTAGATTAGTTCACTCAAAAGGGAAAATAATGTTATTATTAATCACTTGCCTGAGAGATTTGTTCATCTTCAGGACACAAATTAAGTTCCTTCATCGTCCATAGGCACCAAGGGTTTAGAGAACGTCAAAGTCCAGAAAAGGAGCCAAAACCTAATCAAAACATTTAGTGTGACTTCAATGGTTCAACTGCAATCATACAAACCTTTTGTGTGCCAACATAAAATAGTAATGATGATTTAGTTCATCTATGTCTCCAACATCAGGTCAGAGTTTGCCTTTACTCTGGGCCAGTGGTCACCAAACTTGTTCCTGGAGGGCCGGTGTCCTGCAGATTTTAGCTCCAACCCTAATCAAACACACCTGAACAAGCTAATCAAGCTCTTGCTAGGTATACTTGAAACATCCATGCAGGTGTGTTGAGGCAAGTTGGAGCTAAACCCTGCAGGGACACCGGCCCTCCAGGACCGAGATTGGTGACCCCTGCTCTGAGCAATACGACAATACTCACTCTAACGCAAAATGTTTTAATGCCCATAGTAAATATGGACCCTGGCATCAGCAAATTGACTTGTTTTTACAGTTTCTTTGGTGCACAAAACGAGTTCTTGGAGCTTCGATTGATGAAGCCACATTGAATGTCTTGGTTCTTTTCTGGACATTGAATGTCTTTGGGCCCTTGCTGTCTAAAAAGGACGAGGAAGCTCTCGAATTCTATCTAAAGTAACTTCATTTGAGTTCTGAACAAGATCAGAACATAACTTAACATTAGGGTAACTCCTTAAAAAGCTTTTCAGCTTCCCGTTGATACTGACCTTTGCTTGTTTCTGCACATTAGACCGGGCTACCAAGATGTGGTGACGATTCCAGCTGGTGCCACACACCTAGATGTCAAGCAGCGATCTTTTGGAGGCCGTAGCCAAGACAACAGCTACCTAGCAGTCCGCCGGCAAGATGGCTCCTACCTTCTGAACGGCGACTATAAGTTGACCACTTTAGAGACTGATATCTCTGTGAAAGGTGCTCTGCTGCGGTACAGCGGCTCCTCTGTTCTTCTGGAGCGCCTGAGAAGCTTTGCTCCCTTACCTGAGCCTTTGACCATCCAGGTGTTGTCAGTCGGTGAATCCCCTAGGCCTCGTGTCAAGTATAGCTACTTTGCTCCACGTCCCAATGGCTCAAACCGGCCGTCTATCAACGCAATTAGTAAAGCTGTAGATGCTGAATGGTTCCTGGGTGAGTGGGGAACTTGTTCGAAAACCTGCGGCGGAGGGATTCAGACGCGGGATGTTATGTGCCTTGATTCTAAACGTCGTCCATCTAAAAACTGTGTTGATGAGTTGCGCCCTGCATCATCTCGGCAATGTGCTTTGCAGGATTGCCCATTCTGGTTCTTGGGTGAGTGGGGAACTTGCTCGAAAACCTGCGGCGGTGGGATCCAGACGCGGGATGTGATGTGCCTTGATCATAACCGTCGTCCATCTAAAGACTGTGTTGAATTGCACCCTCCATCATCTCGGCAATGTGCTTTGCAGGATTGCCCAGCCTGGTTCTTGGGTGAGTGGGGAACTTGCTCGAAAACCTGCGGCGGTGGGATCCAGAAGCGGGATGTGATGTGCCTTGATCATAACCATCGTCCATCTGAAGACTGCGTTGAGTTGCGCCCTGCATCATCTCGGCAATGTGCTTTGCAGGATTGCCCATTCTGGCTGCCGGGCAACTGGTCTGAATGTTCCAGAACATGCGGTAGAGGCTTTCGCAAGCGTACACTTAGCTGCATTACACATGATGGTCACATTTTGCCTAATAGCAGCTGCAATGCAACGGATCGACCACGACCTCTTCTGAACTTGTGCAATCTGACTCCCTGTTGAAAACCGAGGGTTTAAAAACCTTGCAGGTTGCATCTGGTGCCTACCAATACACAGGTTCTTGGATTCAAAGGGCTCCGTATGACTGAGACTGCAACCAATCTTCTTTGGGTTTCATCTAACACTGGGTACAGGGCACAAAGCTGGCACACTGTGCACCTGTCTGTGATGGAGGATGAGGACATGCTGCTTTGGGTTTTTTTCAACATGCATGAGTGTGTGTGCTGGACGATTATTGAAACAGCTATGCATTTTTGTACTGTCTGAGCGGGACTAGACAGACAGCTTTTTTGAATATTAAATAGCGTACAGGAGTATTGTTTTGCCGGGGTCCAGAGCAATACTGATTCACCAGAGTGCCCTCTAGTGGTTCTGCATTTAACGTTAAACTCTGGCTTGAGCACATATTTACCACGTCTTTTTCTTGCCAAAAATCAGTGCCAATCTCACCTCAGCTAGGCACACATGCTGCTAATCAAACACCACAACAGGTATTATGCAATTTCCTCATAGACAAGCTTCACGTGTAGCTTCCTAGTTCGATCACCGTTCTGCAAAGCCATACCTGATCAAGAGGGATCGTGTTTTTAAGGGGGAAGGGAAAGCAAAGGGCATAGTTTCTACTACATCTGCGGAGAGAGTGTGTTTACTTGTTTATGTATGCGTGTGATTGTGTGTAGAGAGATACGGCGAGGGATTCTCTCCTGCTTCTACTTCATAAGTAATCCTCTCCTGCCTTCTGCGAAGGTTTTGTAATGAGATATTTGTAACTTTTTTCTTTCGTTTTGTACAGAATATCCAAAGGTTATTTATTTTTGTACAGCCCGTTTAATATAATCTTTTTTTTTTACCATTATTGTATTTCTGTTTGTTATTATTATTGAAATAACTGAAGGATGTAGATTATATTAGAGTATTTATACAACATCTATGATCTTAGGTTTATGAATAAAGTATCACATTGATTTGTGGAACAATGTTGTCCAGTTTGTGTCGTATTTTGTGTGTCATATGTGAAACTGAAGCATTTAAAGTTGGACTAAAGCAATTTTGCCGAACAATATTGATATTTGAAACCACAAAGTCAAACACGCCCACAACACAACAAGACCACGCCCCCTTTCGGATGTCTTACTTTCATTTCAAGACACGCCCCTCATTTCTGATTGGCTGCAGTGTGTCTGTGGTTAAGAATGGGTTACAAATCATGCTCAGTGTGTATCTTTAGGTCTAAATCCTAGCCACCTAGTGGTTCATAAAAGTACTGCATGTACACTGAAATATTTTTCACTGACTCCCATCCAAAGAGTTAATTAAGAGCAACATCTAACAGCTATTTATTATTTAAAAAATAATTTTCTTGTCAGTTTAGTCCCTTTATTAACCCAGGGTCACCACAGGGGAATGAACTGCCAACTTAACCAGCAGGTTTTTACACAGCGGTACTCTTCTAGCCGCAACCCATCTCTGGGAAACATCCACACTCATACACAACGAACAATTTAGCTTACCCAATTCATCTTGGGGAAAGCGGAGCAAACCCACGCAAACGCAGTGAGAACATGCAAACTCCACACAGAAATGCCAACTGAGCCGAGGCTCGAACTAGCGACCCAGCAACCTTCTTGCTGTAAGGCGACAGCACTACCTACTGCGCCACTGCTTCGCCACACAAGAGATTGAAGATATTAATAAAAAAGTACCAACATCACATTTTAATGAAATGCATCCTGACATTCTTGTTTACATGTGCATAAATAAAGTCTAACAATAATCAGATCTCTACTCATGACAATGGTTAATCTGTCTGCTCATTTTACAAACCAGTCTAGGCCACCATGCTCATTCAGTTTAATTAATTCAATCACATTAATTAGCACTCCCAGCAGCTGTTCACAGCCTGTTTGACTGGCGTATTATTGGGTCACAGGTCAGCGGTCATAACATTTTGTTACACAACAAGCATTAATAATTAAAGAGCACACAGTGGAGGTTAGTCATTATGTGTTCAGGGTGCTTCAAGTATTAGTGCATTGAGCTCCGGTCAGTCTGATGAACCAGAAACCACTGAAGCTCCGCAAAACACAGTCTGAATTCTGCACAGGATCAAACAAGCAAGGCGTTAATAAACTTACATTAACGGTAATGTGTGATTTTTTTCTGCAACCCCCCTGCGCGGGCATCCTGAATGTTTACAAACATGGTATTTCCTCTATAGGGGAATTGCTGATCCAAACCAATAGTATCTGTATGCAGCCTTTATGATGCAAGCTGAGACTGCATCACTCAGCGATGCAATGTCAGACACAATGCACTCAAATGGAGTGACAGGTAGGGTTAGGGGTGGGGTTAGGTGAGCCCATTAAAAAGCATAGGATGCAGCCCAGATTGCACTGCACCAGGTCTGCAGCCAGACCCCTCTCAACTAAACTGGCTGTAGTGTGTGTGTGTGTGTGTGTGTGTGTGAATGAGTGTGTATGAGTGTTTCCCAGTACTGGGCTGCAGCTGGAAGGGCATCTGCTGTGTAAAATGTATGCTGGAAGAGTTGGCGGTTCATTCCGCTGTGGTGACCCCTGATTAATAAAGGGACTAAGCTGAAAAGAAAATTAATAAATGAATTAACTTGTATGTATGTCATTCTAGAGTGTGTGTGTGTGTGTGTGTGTGTGTGTGTGTGTGTGTGTGTGTGTGTGTGTTGAGCTGCTCTTGTTTACTCTTCGTGTTGTTCATCTCAATGATGCTGCAGACAAAGCAGAATCGTGAAAACTCGATTAAAGAGAGTCTAAATTTAGTCTACAGGGTCATTGGAGAAAAGATGAAGCCCCAATTTGCAGCTCTTGAAAAGGCGAGCAAGTTCCCAGAACGATCGTGAGTTACTGATGAAGATGATGATGATGATGATGATGATGGGGTCGTGATGTGGAGGCGGCCGCTCGGTTGTTGCTAAAAGGGATACAGCTGTGGTGAGAAGTTAACAAGACTTATTTATATTATTTATCAAATTACAAATTAAATTGTATTTTATCAGCATTTTATCAACCTTAAATCCAACATTTACCGTAATTTAAAAACACTAATTTACCGAGTATTAATCATATTATTAATTAAATTATTAATTAATTTGTATTGTTACAGCCTACGCCCTACCGCCATCACAACCCTAAACCAAACCATCACAGTAATTTAAAAACGAAAATTATATATAGTTTTATTCATAATATTTATTCATTTACCCATTGTTTATAACTCTCACAATACTGTACATTTAAAAATATTAATTATTGATGTAACGTGTCACAAAAATAATGCAATACTGATGTGAGTATCTGCAGCTGTATCCCTTCAAGCCGTTCCTCCAGGCGGGCTCTGGCTGCTGCTGTGCGGGCTCAGGGGGAGGGTCTGGCGGACACGCAGAGAGAGAGCGCAGCGCCGCGGGAGAACAGAAGCTCCAGACAAAGAGGAAGAGCTGGACACGTGCAGCCCTTAGAGGATATGCGGGAACTTTTCTGACTCTCTGAACTGTTGCTTTCGACTGCAGTCATGGCTGAGGTATCGATGCACTGCGGGAAGAGGAAGAAGTAGCGCGGGAAAGAGTGTTTAGATGCGGAGTTTTCCTGAAATAAGCGGATTATGGAGAATCCCAGAAGTGCGAGTTTACAGAAGAGCTGGAAGTTCGTGCGGGAGTCGCTGCTGCTCTGCTTAATCGCCGGTATGAAGAACTACTTTCAGCTTTACTGTTTAAACAAACTAACGTTAGTTACTTACAACAGTTGTTTCTCAAATTACAAGTAATAACAACACGAACTCAAATGTGTTTGTTGGTAGAATGTTTTGCTGGACACCTCATGAAGTTATGGAACTTACGTTACTTTAGTACATTTTTGTCACGCGAACGTTGAAGGAACTTTTGTTATGTTACGTAAATTACGTAAACGATACGTTCAAACGTTAACTAGATAAGTGTTGTTGTTTTTACGTTAATAAAACGATCATAATGTTGTTAAAATATTGTTAAAACCCCGATATCTTTGAACGAACTATTACAAAAACATTGCCAGAATGTTTAAACAATCTATTATTTACTAATATTATATTTAATAGTGTTTATTCAATACATATATGTACTCTACAGGTCATTTAATGTAAGTTTTTGTCATTCTATTGTAATAATGGCAACTAATTGCCTAAATGTTGTTGAAATATTGGTAAAAAGCAGATATTTTTGCATGAACGTTCTATTATTGTAACAAAAACATTTCCAGAATGTTTAAACAATATGTTATTTAGTAATATTACATTTAATTGTGTTTATTCAATTGCATATACTTTCCAGGTAATTTTAATGTAAGTTTATGTCATTCTATTGTAATAATGGTAATTAATTGCCTCAATGTTGTTAAAGTATTGGTAAAAATCAGATATCTTTGCATGAACATTCTATTAACGTTACAATAACATTGCCAGAATGTTAAAACAATCTTATTCACTAATATTAATAATATTTATTCATTATATATACTCTACAGGTCATTTTAATGTAAGCTTTTGTCATTCTGTTGTAATAATGGTAACTAATTGCCTCAATGTTGTTAGAATATTGATTAAAAAGCAGATATCTTTGCATGAACGTTCTATTAATGTTACAAAAACATTGCCAGAATGTTTCAAACAATCTATTATTTACTAATATTACATTTAATAGTGTTTATTCAATTGCATATACTTTACAGGTAATTTTAATGTAAGTTTATGTCATTCTATTGTAATAATGGTAATTAATTGCCTCAATGTTGTTAAAGTATTGGTAAAAATCAGATATCTTTGCATGAACATTCTATTAACGTTACAATAACATTGCCAGAATGTTAAAACAATCTTATTCACTAATATTAATAATATTTCTTCATTATATATACTTTACAGGTCATTTTAATGTAAGTTTTTGTCATTCTATTGTAATAATGGTAACTAATTGCCTCAATGTTAATAGAATATTGGTAAAAAAAAGCAGATATCTTTGCATGAATGTTCTATTAACGCTACAGTAACATTACCAAAATGTTTACACAATCACTTATTCACTAATATTAATAATATTTTTTCATTATATGTACTTTACAGGTTACTTTAATGTCATTTCATTGTAATAATGGTTGCTAATTGCTCCCAGGTCAAACATAAACTAAACAAAAATCTGAAAAACACTTTTAACTGAATTCTTTAACCCAACTGTTGGGTTTGTCAATGGTAGTGTGACCCATCTATGGGTTAAAACAACCCAACATTTTTATTTTGCATTTTTAAAGTGTACTTTAAGCTTGGTGTTTATTGCTACCATGGTAATGCTGTGGTATCCTTTAACATGCATGTAAATATCATGGAGTATTCATTAACTAGCATGGTATAACCGTCCTATAGCATGTCCATTGTGAATTGTTGTGATTAAACTGGACTTAGACAGATTGGTGTGTGTGTGCGTGTGCGTGCGTATGTGTGTGTGCGTGTGTGTGTGTGTGTGTGTGTGTGTGTGTGTGTGTGTGTGTGTGTGTGGTAACATTTAAGGCACCAGTGCGTCTAAAGCGTCTTTGTCCCAGAAGTGTTGACCGACGGGACCCAGAGGTAAATCGCGGGCCCCCGGGGGACCACCCAGTCTGCAGGCTCCACATTTCAGTGCAGCTCTCAGTTGCTCCGGGAAGCCAGATGCAAACAGACGCCACGCAAATTGAAGCCAAATTCTGCTGCTTTAGAAGACATAATTACCCCAATTATACCGTGATGATGACTGTGGGCTGGACGAGATAGCGCTGTAACTGTGTGCCAGCCAGCCTTCAGCTCCAGATATATATATATATATTTAAGTGTTTATCTGTTGACATTAAAAGATTGATGTCATTTCCTGAGCTTCATAAAGGAGAAGAAAAAATTATTCTGGGAAATTATTATTGTCATTTTTTTTTTGTTTAATATACAGATAAAGGACATTTTTCACAAAATATCCTTTAATAGTTTTCTTCTGGGGGCGGCACGGTGGCGTAGTGGGTAGCACATTCGCCTCACAGCAAGAAGGTTGCTGGTTCAAGCCTAGGCTGGGTCAGTTGGTGTTTCTGTGTGGAGTTTGCATGTTCTCCCCGTGTTGGCGTGGGTTTTCTCCTGGTGCTCCGGTTTCTCCCACAGTCCAAACAGATGCGCTATAGGGGAATTAGGTAAACTAAATTTTCTGTAGTGTGTGTGTATGGATGTTTCCCAGTATTGGGTTGCAGCTGGAAGGGCATCCACTGCGTAAAACATATGCTGGATAAGTTGGCGGTTCATTCCACTGTGGCGACCCCAGATTAATAAAAGGACTAAGCCGAAAAGACAATGAATGAATTTTTCCTCTGTTTAAAGTCTGATGTCTGTGAGGTTTGGCTTGAATCAAGCAGTTTCACATCTTTAGATGAATTATAATGAGCAATATTAATAGTCAAAATGAAGCAACTTTTGTTTTTTTGATTGGCTACAGAATAAATCACTGTTGTGGCTCGCCTAATTAGCCTAGTTAAGCCTTTGAAATGACTGTAAATTGTACTTTAAGATGAACACTATACTCTAAGGGCAGCACTGTGGCTCAGTGGGTAGCACAATCGCCTCACAGTAAGGTCACTGGTTCGAGCCTCGGCTGGGTCAGTTGGTGTCTCTGTGTGGAGTTTGCATGTTCTCCCGTGTTGGCGTGGGTTTCCTCTGGGTGCTCCGGTTTCCCCGACAAGTTAGGTAGGCTAAATTGTCCATAGTGTATAAGTGTGAATGAGTGTGTATGGATGTTTCCCAGTACTGGGTTGCAGCTGGAAGGGCATCCGCTGTGTAAAACATATGCTGGATAAGTTGGCGCACAATGTATCTCCATTGCTGCTCCGCAGTGTGTTAATGTGAGCATGAGCGCAGGCGTCTGTCAGCAGATCTGATGATTCTCTGCAGGATCAGACTCGTCTGGAATGATGGGAAGAGTGGGATTCCCCCTCCTCCACCACACTGAGACAGGGAAACACTGCTGGAGATGTGGAGCATTCTGACTGATTAGCTTCATTATAAGCTTTAAGTTTCATGTAGAACAGCTTGTTCTCTATCATTGTCCAGACACTGTAAACAACATTTCTGATTCATTAACAAGCTTTGACCGTGCTGGGAAAAAACACACCAACATACGTGAACATTTCCTGAAAACGCTGTGCTGTGCATTTAGTGATTCTGTTCTTCTGAAATGAATGCACTTTATTTTAAATTTAAGAGCCTCTAATTTGCATAAAAAGGTTCATATTTTGGTTTTAGGGGTCTCTAACAACAGGCTGATCTGCATGCAAGGTCAAAAAAACCCTTTCATTGTCTTATAATCTGCATTTATTCATTTTTACCTGATTATCCCAGCGACTCCCATATGAATCATTCAGTGATCCTTTCCAGCTTAATCCCTTTATTAATCAGGGGTCGCCACAGCAGAATGAACCACCAACTATTCCAACACAGCAGATGCCCTTCAAGCCGCAGCCCAGTACTGGGCAACACCCATACACACTCATTCTCACACACACACACACTTATACACTACAGCCAATTAAGTTCCTCAGTTCGCCTATAGCACATGTGTTTGGACTGTGGGGGACACCGGAGCACCCTGAGGAAACCCACGCGAACGCAGGGAGAACATGCAAACTCCACACAGAAACACCAACTAATACAGCCGAGACTCAAACCAGCAACCTTCTTGCTGTGAGGTGATTGAGTTACCCACTTCACCACCATGCTGCCCGCAAAGCATTATTGTGACAACCAAAATAGCAACCTCTTAGCAACACACACAGCAAACACACAGGACACAACACTGATCAACACACACTCAGAGCAAACGACAACGCTCAGAACTACACAGTAATCTGTGTGTCTTTATTCTCAATTATCTTTTGACATAACCCTGTGTGTGTGTGTGTGTGTGTGTGTGTGTGTGTGTGTGTGTGTGTGTGTGTGTGTGTAGGTCGTGGAGAGGCTCAGTGTGACGGCTGTATTGAGTACTGCTGTGATGGAGTTCCTCCGTTCTGCTGCTCATATTATGCTTATGTGGGAGATGTGCTGTCGTAAGTACACACACACACACACAGACACACACAAACACATATGTATCACATTTCACACATATTATACACACACGTGCATGCGCTCTCTCTCACACACACAATATCACATATTATCTGTGTGCGTGCACACACACTCACACACAAACGTGTATCATTTTTTACACACACACATGCATGCTCTCTTTCTCTCACACACACACACACACACACACACACACACACACACACAAATATAACATATTACATGTGCTCACACACGTGCATCACATTTTAAACACATATTGCACACACATACTCTCTGACACACACACACAAACACACACACACACACACACACACACACACACACACACAAATAAGTGTCCTATTTAAACATGTAGCACACAAACACACACATATTACACACAAACACACAAGTATCACACACACACACATACATGTGTCACATTTTACACAAATATTACAAACACACATGCAAACTCTCTGTCCCACACACACACACACACACACATTATATTACAAACACACTAATGTTACATATTACACATGGGCACACACACACACACACACACACACACACACACACATAGAAAAGTGTCATATTTAAACTCATATTACACACAAACACATCCTTACTCTCACACAAACACACACAAATTACACACAAACACACAAGTATCACACACACACACTCATACATGTATCACATTTTACACAAATATTACAAACACACATGCAAACTCTCTGTCCCACACACACACACACACATTATATAACAAACACACTAATGTTACATATTACACATGGGCATGCACACACACACACACACACACACACACACACACGTGTATCACATTTCACAGACATATTACAAACACACATGCATACTCTCCCTCCCTCTCACACACACACAATATTACATATTACACATGCACATATAGACACACACACGTGTATCACATTTCAAGCACCCACACACACACACACACACACACACACACACACACTCTTCCTGACTGCTGGTATGTTAGTCATGTACAACATCAGCACTGAGCTGACCTCTGACCTCTTGACCTCTGACCCTCTCTCCTTACTCACAGCTGTTTTCTTTTTCACTTGAGTCTGAGAACATAATCACACTTCACGTCCAATCACAGAGGAATAAAGCAGTGTTCTCTAACTGAGCTGAATAATGAGAGAGAGAGCTGCCCTGTTTTAAATTTGCCTCATTAATCCTGATATTTCACCATTTATTACTGCAGAAACGCCTTTTAAATCATTCAAACTCATTTTAATAATGTGTTTTGCTCAATTTTTGTCCAAAAAAACGTTCATCTCGCTCTCTCTCTCTCTCTCTCTCTCTCTCTCTCTCTCTCTCTCTCTCTCTCTCTCTCTCACACACACACACACAGACACACACATTAATCCAGACTTGAAACGACATCTGAAAAGCAGTATATTTAGTCCGCAGCAGAGACATGTTTAGTCAGGTGCTGTTCACTCAGGAGACTGATCACCGTCCACTCACTAACCAGCGAGATCCATCAGGAGCAAATAAATATGAGCACTGTGGGTGGCCTGGACCATAAAACACACACACACACACACACACACACACACACACACTGCAAATATTGAGTTCATCCTGCCATCAAACAGGTAGTTAGAGTTTGATGAATCACGCATGACTGCTGCTTCCTTATTTACTTGCAGAGTGAGACTAGCGTAATTAACACACAGCAACAACTCTGAACATCAAGAACCTGAATAGCAAAGTGTTTGGCAACAACAAAAGCAGCCACACAGAATACACATAAAGACCCTAGAGACCACCCAGAACAGTCATGAAACTGCATAGCGACACCCTAGGAACCAGCAAGAACAGTCGCAGCTGCATGGCAACACCCTAGAAACCAGCAAGATTTGTTATGGCTGCATAGCAACACCCTAAAAACCAGCAAGAACAGTCACAGCTGCATAGCAACACCCTAGAAAACAGCAAGAACAGTCCCAGCTGCATAGCAACACCTTAGAAACCAGCAAGAACAGTCACAGCTGCATAGCAACACCCTAGAAACCAGCAAGAACAGTCGCAGCTGCATAGCAACACCTTAGAAACCAGCAAGAACAGTCACAGCTGCATGGCAACACCCTAGAAACCAGCAAGATTTGTTATGGCTGCATAGCAACACCCTAAAAACCAGCAAGAACAGTCACAGCTGCATAGCAACACCCTAGAAACCAGCAAGAACAGTCCCAGCTGCATAGCAACACCCTAGAAAACAGCAAGAACAGTCCCAGCTGCATAGCAACACCCTAGAAACCAGCAAGAACAGTCACAGCTGCATAGCAACACCCTAGAAACCAGCAAGAACAGTCACAGCTGCATAGCAACACCTTAGAAACCAGCAAGAACAGTCACAGCTGCATAGCAACACCCTAGAAACCAGCAAGAACAGTCGCAGGTGCATAGCAACTCCCTAGAAACCTGCAAGAACAGTCACAGCTGCATAGCAACACCCTAGAAACCAGCAAGATTTGTTATGGTTGCATAGCAACACCCTAGAAACCAGCAAGAACAGTCGCAGGTGCATAGCAACACCCTAGAAATCAGCAAGATTGGTCAGCTACATAGCAACACCCTAGAAACCAGCAAGATTGGTCATGACTGCATAGCAACACCCTAGAAACAAGCTAAAACAGTTGCAGCTGCATAGCAACAACATAGAAACAAGTAAGATTGCTAATGGCTGCATAGCAACACCCTGGAAACCAGCAAGATCTTTCAGAGCTTCATAACAACACGCTAGAAACCAGCAAGAACATTTGCAGCTGCATGGCAACACCCTAGAAACCAGACAAGAACAATCACAGCTGCATAGCAACAACATAGAAACAAGTAGGATTGGTAATGGCTGCATAGTACCACCCTAGAAACCTGCAAGAACAATCACGGCTGCATAGCAACACCCTAAAAACAAGCGAGAACAGTCACAACCACATAGCAACACCCTATAAACGAGCAAGATTAATCATGGCTGCATAGCAACATTCTAGAAACCAGCAAGATTAGTCACAGCTGCATAGAAACACTCTAGAAACCAGCAAGATTGGTCATGTCTGCATAGCAACAACATAGAAACCAACAAGAACAGTCAAGGCTGCATAGCAACACTCTAGAAACCAGCAAGATTGGTCATGGCTGCATAGCAACACCCTAGAAAACAGTAAGGACAGTCACAGCTGCATAGCAACACCTTAGAAACCAGCAATGACAACTGCAGCTGCATAGCAACACCCCAGAAAGCAGCAAGAACAGTCACGGCTGCGTAGCAACATCCAGAAAGTCCACACTAACAACATCCAGTTATTCAGCAGCCCAGCGGTGCTTGCTCCTCAGTTTTGACTGTAACGTTGATGGTTTCCCTCTTTCCTCAGAGGAACGGCTATCTCCGGGATCGTGTTCGGTGTTGTGTTTCTGATGGGAGCAGTGGCCGCTGTGTTTCTGTGCGTCTGCATGTGTGTGAAGAACAGCCGCGGGTCCAGAGTCGGAGTTTTCAGTTCCACATACATCAACACAGTGACTCAGGGTTACCCAGGTGACACGCCCACACATGCACACACACACACACAAACAAAAAATACACACAAACACACAGAAAGTTGTTGTGTTTGTTGTGTTGCTGCTGTGGTTTTTGTTGTGTGTTTTTTTGCTGCTTGTTTGTGTGCTGTTGTTTGTTGTTGATGTGTTGTGTGTTGTTTTGTTGTTGTGTGTTGTTTTGTTGCTTGTCTGTGTGTTGTTGTGTGTTGTTTTGTTGCTTGTTTGTGTGTTGTTTGTTGTTGATGTGTTGTGTGTTGTTTTGTTGTTGTGTGTTGTTTTGTTGTTGTGTGTTGTTTTGTTGCTTGTCTGTGTGTTGTTTTGTTGTTGTGTGTTGTTTTGTTGTGTGTTTGTGTGCTGTTGTTTTGTTGTTGATGTGTTGTGTGTTGTTTTGTTGTTGTGTGTTGTTTTGTGTGATAATGTGCTGTTGTTTGTTCATGTGATGGTTGTTGTTTATGTGCTGTTGTGTGTTGTCTGCTGTTTGGTTGTTGTGTTGTGTTGTGTTGATGTGTTTTTTCATTGTTGTTGTCTTGGTTCATGTGCTGATGTTTGGCATTGATGTGTTGTTGTTGTGTGCTGTGTTGCTGTTGTTGATGTGATGCTATTGTGTGTAGTTGATATATATATATATATGTTGTGTTGTTGTGTGCAGGTCCTCCTCCTCCTCCTTACAGTTATGATCATGAGATGTTTCCTCCTGATCTCCGTCCTCCTCCATACACACCCACTGTTCCCAGATCAGCAAACTACTCTCCACCTCCACCATACCCTGGATTCAGCAGGAAGTGACCATGACCATTTCCAGACCTGAGGCCAGACGCTGACCTGCTGCACACACACACACACACACACACACATTAATGCAGTGCACATGTAGGCTGTAATAATAGCCATACATTAGCAGTTTTACCCAGTTTGTGATTAATTTTTTCCAATTTATTCATGTTTTTGAGTTGCATTATGGGATCTTGATCTTTCTTCTGACGACTGTTAAGCCTAAATAGTTGCAAAAAGTGGGTTTTCTGACCATTTGTAATAGTCTGCAGTGCTATATTGTCTATGATTGAGCTTTATGACATGCTGCGTTATCCTGCTGGAAGTAGCCATCAGAAGATGGAGACACTGTGCTCATAAAGGGATGGACATGGTCAGCAGCAATACTCAGGTAGGCTGTGGCGTTGATGCTCAATTGGTACTAATGGACCCAAAGAAAATCTCCCCCACACCATTACACCACCACCACCAGCCTGAACCGCTGATACAAGGCAGGATGATCCATGCTTTCATGTTGTTGATGCCAAATTCTGACCCGAGCATCCGACAGCAGAAATGGAGACTCATCAGAGCAGCAACGTTTCTCCAATCTTCTATTGTCCAGTTTTGGTGAGTCTGTGTGAATTGTAGCCTCAGTTTCCTGTTCTTAGCTGACAGGAGCGGCACCCGGTGTGCTCTTCTGCTGCTGTAGCCCATCCGCCTCAAGGTTGGCCGTGTTGTGTGTTCAGAGATGCTCTTCTGCAGAGCTCGGTTGTAACGAGTGCTTATTTGAGTTACTGTTGCCTTTCTATCAGCTGGAACCAGTCTGGCCATTCTCCTCTGACCTCTGACCATCAACAAGGCATTTGCGCCCACAGAACTGCCGCTCACTGGATATTTCCTCTTTGTCGGAGCATTCTCTGTAAACCCTAGAGATGGTTGTGCGTGAAAATCCCAGTAGATCAGCAGTTTCTGAAATACTCAGAGCAGCCCGTCTGGCAGCAACAACCATGCCACGTTCAGAGTCTCTTAAATCCCCTTTCTTCCCCATTCTGATGCTCGCTCTGAACTGCAGCAGATCCTCTTGACCATGTCTACATGCCTAAATGCAGTGAGCTGCTGCCATGTGATTGGCTGATTAGACATTTGCATTAACAGCAGTTGGACTGGTGTACCTAATAAAGTGGCCGGTGAGTGTATTTCTCTATATATTATGTCTTATATATTATTACTCAATGACTAAATGTCAGTAAAAGTCACTTTGTTAAACTGTAGAGTTGAATTTTCAACATCAGAAGTGGACAGAGCAGAGATAAGCATCCCATAATGCAAATCACCACCACACATAAACACAAAATATGGAAATTGTCTTATATTGACAGTGTGCATTCTGGGAAATGCAGTAGACTCTGTGTTAGGGGTCTGGCTGCAGACCTGGTGCAGTGCAATCTGAGCTGCATCCAATGCTTTTTATTGGGCTCACCTAACTCCACCCCTAACCCTACCCGTCACAGTGACGTCACTCGCTCCATTAAGTGCATTGTGTCTGAGAATGCATCGCTGAGTGATGCAATTTCAGCGTGCATCGTACAGGCTGCATCCAGATACTATTGGGAAATGCAGTAGACTCTGTGTAGACTCAGTGTTATTTCTGTCATGATCAATGAAATGTGTATATAGATTAACATTATGTTCTTGTGTTTCTGTCCGAGTGGTTTCTGCTCTGGAAATAATTCGCTTTATTAATGCAGAAAATGTATTTATTCGCTTGCATATTTGTTTGGAAGCTCTAATATCAGTGTTTTTATAGTGTGCAGATTTGTCTTTGTATTTGTGAGCAGTAAAATTAAAACAAAGGGTGGCACGGTGGCTCAGTGGTTAGCACTGTGGCCTCACAGCAAGAAGCTCGCTGGTTCGAGTCCCGGCTGGACCAGTTGGCATTTCTGTGTGGAGTTTGCATGTTCTCCCCGTGTTGGCGTGGGTTTCCGCCGGGTGCTCCGGTTACAGTCCAAGCACATGTGCTATAGGGGAATTGATCAACTCAATTGGCCGCAGTGTATGAGTGTGTGTGTGTATGCATGCGTGCGTGTTTCCCAGTACTGGGTTGTGGCTAGAAGGGCATCTGCTAAATAAAACACATGCTGGACTAGTTGGCAGTTCATTCCGCTGTGGTGAACTCTAATGAATAAGGGACTAAGCCAAATGAAAACAAGCAAATGTGGTTGACCTGTTTTTAAAACTTGTGCTCAAATAGTAAAGCATCTGTTTTTGAATTTTAATAATAATAAAACTGAAATCTCCTTTCTTTCTGTTATTGTGTGTATGATGCACTGAAGGTAATATAAATATCGCATGTTGTGATAATATTTGTGCCATTTGTGTAAAACTCAGAATTACAGTGGTGTTTAAACAATGTCCACACGGTGGCAGCAAATAACACAAAACTGATTTTTTTGTTAATTTAGTATGTTTTGAGTAATTTTCAGCATTCAGAAAATACATAATGATTGTGCATATTGTAGTGACGTCATTATAATAGACGTTTATTATTACTATTGTATGTTAAACACACAGTAATGTGCAGGGCACAACATTTAATACTTTACATTAGAATGAATGTGATGCAATTATTGATAATATTAAACATATTATTATTCATAAATAGTGAAAATTATATATTATAATGCATATATTGTTTAATGCATATATATTCTTAACTGAAAAGTAAACTATTACATTTTTTATACACTCCTCAAAATAGTGTTTCAACCCAAATTAGGAAAATATGGACAAGCCCTGATTTTCAGCTGAATTTGGTCCAATACATTTAATCATAAAATTAACCCAGCGGAAACAGAATTTACCCAAAAACCTGTTGAAATAACCCAGAATATTTTTAGAGTGTACATGCGACAACATCTAACGTATTTGTCCCAAATGTAAAATAAAATAAGCAGAACAACAAGCAGCAAAAGTGAGAATGTACAAGGATTACAGTTAATTATTATATTTATATTGCATGTGTAGAAATTATATTTTAAAAACTAAAACAAATCTGTCTAAAGATGCCTCACTGAAGAGAAAATAATTATTACATTATACTAGAATATAAGTCATTATAGTATATATATATATATATATATATATATATATATATATATATACACTTTTTCTTTTTTTATTATTATAGAAAAAGTATGTATCTGTACATAACTACATAAATAATTTATATATTTATATATTAACTATATTATATATTATAACTATAACTAATTTATATATAACTAAATAATTTATATATTATACCTTATAACGAACACATCCCTGACTGAAAAGTTAAATATTAATTAATTAACATTTAATAGATAATTAAAATGTATACTATTTCTTTTTTATTATAACATCAATTAGATCATTATTGTGTTTAACTATTACATTTCTATAAAATAGATAACTTATAAATGATATTTTAAAAAGTAGATGCCTGACTATAGACTTAAATATTTGATTGTTTTTCTCAATATAAAATATATACGTTTTCTTTTTTTATTATTATATAAAATATGTATTCGATCACAATTATATTTGTTTGTACTTTTTGTCAAATACGTTTTTAAAAATATAAAAAACAGATGCTTGTATCAGATCATAGTTGATTTATTTATTATATTAAATAATTTATATATTATAAAATATAATAAACACATCCCTGCCCGAAAAAAATATATCTTATTTTTCTAAAATTATGATATATACCTTTCATTTTATTTTTATTATTAATTTATTTTTTATTTCTCACAGCACATTATGTAAATAAGCTCCATTCCTTGATCATTGATTGGCGTGTTCTCCGTTTGCTCCTCCCCCTACCGTGACGTACGGCTCTGATTCTCACCGCAGGCGCATCGCGTTCTTCACAGAGCCACAAACACATCGACATTCATTCACAGCGAACGGATAAATCTAAATACAACCAAAAACACAGAAGGAAAGGCGAAATAAAGAGGAGCAGAAGCATGCGGTCGAGGGAGCTCTTCATATTACTGATGGCCGTCGCGTCGACGCTCGCGGTGGAGGTAAGAAAACGACAAAAGATAACGTTACGTTTGATCTCTGAGGTAAAACATATTCACAACTGACGATTATTCCTATAGAGTCCTATTGAGCCTTGATATTTAATGTTTTGAGGCGTGTAAATGTTAGATGTGTTATCATTTCATCTGCTGGTGTGGATTATTCGGTGAAGATGTTCGCTGGACGGGCGGAATGTGTAGCGGGATCAGCCGCGTTACATCAGCGTTACATTTAAAACATCGATGATTAATTCATACTGTACACTGTAACGCATCTGCTTATTAATATTAATAAACAAACTGACGCGCTAAAAATACCGCGAGTGTCGGTGGTGGTAAACGCGTTTATAACATTCACTGCGTTACATGTTCACATTCTGTTGATTTGTATTGATTCAATGGACAAATGTTGTGTTTATAGTGGTTTTTAGTCGATGTTTAACCTTAGACGATGGTTTAATATCGAATAATAAGGCTTCCACGAATAATATGGCTCCCAGTGTTGTGGTTGTGAAATATGATTTAATATTCCCTCGAGCTATGCTGGTGTCAGTGGGTGTGTAGGGAGGGAACTTGATTTTATGACGCTCGGGGTGTGTGTGATGTTCCCTCGGCCTTTGTTTGGCTTTGCTTCTTTAATAAATGACTCATTAAACGCGTTTATATTGCTGGAAATGTTCTGTATCGCGAACGCGTTTGTCGTGAACGCCCCCCAAGATGGCGGACAATCACTGCAGCTATTAAAAGCGCCGCTCGACACCTCTTCTTCATTATTGTTTCGAGGAACAGGCTATTTTAAACGCTAGCCAATCTGTTTATGGTTATATTTTAGTGTAAGACAATGTTGTCTATTCTATGGAAAGCCTGTAAAACTGTAATCTCCCTTATCACATTATGAAGGAGATGAAGTGTGGTGATAATATGAGTTTAGGATATCAATATCATTCGAATTATGTAATTATTGGTGTATAAAACACCATTTGACTTAATTTTAAGAGTCAGTGCTACATTATAATGTGGGTAACATGAAGCACACACAATGGATTTGGTGTTTGAGGTCATTGTTTGAGGCTTCTGCTCTATTTTCTGTGAAGTTGTTATTTGATGTGGTGTTTTTCAGTTGTATTACATTAGGAATTGGTTCATTCTTCCTACTATAAATCTTGTTTGTAAACCGATTTGTATAAAAGTGTCTGCTACATGTCTGGATGTAAGTGTGATTGCGTTCACATTTGGTGGTTTTGTCACCTGAAGGTGTGTAGAAATGGAGCTTTGACAGATGTCTGGACAAATGTTCAAGACCTAAAACCAACCCGGTGTCACTAGAAATCATTATGTTTCATGTTTTTAATTGGTTAATGTTTAATATCAACTTAATTAAATGACTTATAGGCTGCTGATGGCTGACAGGAACCATAATTTCAATCAAATCAGAACTCTAAGAACTGAATGTTCTTCATTGGATTAATCATTTTGTAAAAAGATTAAACATCAGTTGAAATCTTTTTTAAACAAGGTGATAAACAGTGTTTTACTAGATAAAATAGTTCTTTTTAAAAAAGCAATTACTGAAATGTTTTTTAAAGAATCCAAAACAGTTCTTCTGTGGCCTTTTGCTAAAGTTTACTTTTTAAGAGTCAATGTTTAATCCCATATCGCAAAAATAATGCATCACATTTTCCATTAGTATTTGCAACCCTAAAGTATTTGTAGGTTTGTTCAGATCTATAGGCAAATAAATATATATCTATATTTCTGCCAGTAGTTGCCTAAAATACTTTAGACTCCTGTAGTCCATCAGTGTTTCTTTGTTGTTGTGCTGTGAATAAGTGTAATATATGACATATGCTGTTATATACTACTAATGTTATATATGCCATATACTAGTGTTATATACTACTAATGTTATATGCCATATATTAGTGTGTTATATACTACTACTAGTGTTATATATGCCACATACTAGTGTTAAATACGACTAATGTTACATATGCCACATACTATATGACTAATGTTATATATGCCACATACTAGTGTTATATATTAGTAATGTTATATATGTCATATTCTAGTGTTATATACTAATAATGTTATATGCCATATATTAGTGTCTTATATACTACTAGTGCTGTATATGCCATATACTAGTGTTATATACTACTAGTGTTATATAGTGTTATATATGCCATATACTAGTGTTATATACTACTAGTGTTATATAGTGTTATATATGCCATATACTAGTGTTATATACTACTAGAATATGCCTTATTCTAGTGATATATACTTCTAGTGTTATATAGTGTTATATATGCTATATACTAGTGTTATATACTACTAGTGTTATATATGCCATTTACTAGTGTAATATATGCCATTTACTAGTGTTATATACTACTAGTGTTATATATGCCATATTCTAGTGTTATATATGCCCTATAATAGTATGTATAGTAGTGTATACTACTAGTGTTATATACGTTAAATAGTAGTTTTATTTACACCATATAGTAGCATTATATACTACTAATGTTATATACTACTAGTGTTATATATGCCATATACTAGTGTTATATACTTCTAGTGTTATATAGTGTTATATATGCCATATACTAGTGTTATATATTATTAGTGTTATATATGCCATATACTAGTGTTATATATGCCATATACTAGTGTTATATACTACTAGTGTTATATAGTGTTATATATGCCATATACTAGTGTTATATACTACTAATGGTATATTGCCATATATTAGTGTCTTATATACTACTAGTGCTGCATATGCCATATACTAGTGTTATATACTTCTAGTGTTATATAGTGTTATATATGCCATATACTAGTGTTATATATTATTAGTGTTATATATGCCATATACTAGTGTTATATATGCCATATACTAGTGTTATATACTACTAGTGTTATATAGTGTTATATATGCCATATACTAGTGTTATATATTATTAGTGTTATATATGCCATATACTAGTGTTATATATGCCATATACTAGTGTTATATACTACTAGTGTTATATAGTGTTATATATGCCATATACTAGTGTTATATATTATTAGTGTTATATATGCCATATACTAGTGTTATATATGCCATATACTAGTGTTATATACTACTAGTATTATATAGTGTTATATATGCCATATACTAGTGTTATATACTACTAATGGTATATATGCCATATATTAGTGTCTTATATACTACTAGTGCTGTATATGCCATATACTAGTGTTATATACTTCTAGTGTTATATAGTGTTATATATGCCATATACTAGTGTTATATATTATTAGTGTTATATATGCCATATACTAGTGTTATATATGCCATATACTAGTGTTATATACTACTAGTGTTATATAGTGTTATATATGCCATATACTACTGTTATATATTATTAGTGTTATATATGCCATATACTACTGTTATATATGCCATATACTAGTGTTATATACTACTAGTATTATATAGTGTTATATATGCCATATACTAGTGTTATATACTACTAATGGTATATATGCCATATATTAGTGTCTTATATACTACTAGTGCTGTATATGCCATATACTAGTGTCTTATATACTACTAGTGCTGTATATGCCATATACTAGTGTTATATATTATTAGTGTTGTATATGCCATATACTAGTGTTATATATGCCATATACAAGTGTTATATATTATTAGTGTTATATATGCCATATACTAGTGTTATATATGCCATATACTAGTGTTATATACTACTAGTGTTATATAGTGTTATATATGACATATACTAGTGTTATATATGCCATATACTAGTGTTATATACTACTAGTGTTATATAGTGTTATATATGCCATATAGTAGTGTTATATATTATTAGTGTTATATATGCCATATACTAGTGTTATATATGCCATATACTAGTGTTATATACTACTAGTGTTATATAGTGTTATATATGCCATATACTAGTGTTATATATGCCATATACTAGTGTTATATACTTCTAGTGTTATATAGTGTTATATATGCCATATACTAGTGTTATATACTTCTAGTGTTATATAGTGTTATATATGCCATATACTAGTGTTATATATTATTAGTGTTATATATGCCATATACTAGTGTTATATATTATTAGTGTTATATATGCCTTATACTAGTGTTATATGCTAAGTGTTATATATGCAATATTCTAGTGTTATATATGCCCTATAATAGCATGTTTAGTAGTGTAAACTACTAGTGTTATACGTTAAATAGTAGTTTTATTTACACCATATAGTAGCATGATATACTACTGTTATATACTACTAGTGTTATATATGCCATATACTAGTGTTATATACTACAAAGATATTCAACTAGTCACCTGGAGAAAATATTTATATCAAAATATATATATATATCAAAGATAAACAAAAAGTTTTTTCTGGTATCGTGCAGCTAAATAAGCTGTGCACCAGCTGTTGTGGTGGTGTTGTAGATGGAAGCATCGAGAAGCCTCTTTGTTTTGGTGTACCTGTGTGTATGAACGCAGTGTGTTGTTTGTGCTTGAATTAGCCTGCGCTGTGTTGGTCGTCTTTTATTCATGACTATAGATGTGCGAAGGTCACGTTACCCACACTGGTATGGCAGGCATTCAGAGCGAGTGTTCAGATGACCTGTGGCTTTACCGGCTGAATGAGTTGCTTTGTTGGCTTCAGTGTGGCGCGTCAGCAGGTGAGCGCGGAGGAGGAGGATGATGATGATGGCCAACATTAGGCATGGGCCATGGATGATAAGCTTGTAGGCATGGGGCGATAACCTGTTTCAAGGTTTACCTGCAGTTTGGAAAAGTCAAGATTTTTAAACTGCAAACATTTTCTGCTAAACCATTCCTAAGGGATATGTACGTTTTTGAGTGTGTGTTCTTTTATGAATATGTTATTTAGTTTTTTAGGAAAACAGCTGAAACGGAGCCTACACATTACTTTTAATTGGTCAAATAATA